TCTAAACCCGCTTTGCTCCTCTACTCCCATATTTCTATTTACATCCATTTTTCTATTCTCACATTTCCATATTTATATCTAACCATTTTTCCTTTTCTATTTATTTGTCTTTATCCACACTGTTTAGCAAAAAAGATTGCAACCCCTTGCCTCACGATTTCCTTTTCAGTCTTCAAACATTAGTTCTTATAACAAGTTACACCGTGTCAGATGTAAAGCATTGAAAGCATTACGCATGATTTATATTTATTAACCTCCAGTTTGAGAAATCAGAATGAAGATTTAAATTCACATTTAACAGGACAAATTTTTCTTTATCAAAGTTCATCCCCTCGAAAGTAAATCTCAAATTCGAATGATCTAACTAATTAACATCGGCTTCATTTATTTCCCAATCTAAATTTTCAAGATGTTGCGAGGCCGCAACATGCTCGGTGTTGCAATTTCTTTGCACGAGCACCATCTATCATTTTTTTCTCGGATCGAAGACGCGAAGAAGACCACCGCCACGATCGCGAAAGGGAAGAACACAAACACCAGGTGAAATGAGGAATTCGCGTGGGGCATCCGACAGGAAAGAAAACTCACCCGCGGCGAGCGCGGTTCGACGCGTAGGCGAGGCCCGTATGCTAATTACGGCAAATCACAGCGGGCGATGATTTGTTCGCGAACGAGCGTGTAAACGGAACTTTTCCAGGAGGGAAGCCGCGCTAGGAAGCCAACGCGAAGCGGACTAGCCCTCGCGACAACCGAGTTCAAGCGAGTAACGGCGCTGCGACACGCGAGTCTCGGCCAGTACACGAATTCATCTCGCGCGCGGAACACGCGCGCTGGCCGTACCGCGCTACACGAGCCCTGCTCGACCACGTGTGAGTATCTTGTGCTTTTGGTTTTCTAGATTCCTTGCCTCGCGATTTACGACGGTATGCCCATGAATTTATTATTACCTATTGTGGAAATATTGGCACGATAAATAAGAGTTTATTACGAATGTCGATGACAAATGGCGATGGGATAGGGTGGTGGTCGTATAATAAATGAAACGACTCGATACGATTAAAATGTTTTGACAACTCTTTCGTTGGACACGAGAGAATGTCGCTTTCAAGTCGGTTCCAACGATGCTCGACGTACATATATTTCTTAACTAATTGCGACACGTCTTTTCCAGTTGTCCTCTCTCCCTTTTTATCGCAATATTTTACAAACGATTCTCGCTCAGTTCTGAGTAACGATCGGATAGGGATAAGGATGTTTGATCCAAGATTGAGTAAAATGGAGCACGAGCCATTAATTTTTGGACGACGATGTGCAGTTATAAAATTAACATATGTCAGTGAGAATATATTAATAATTTTTAATGTGCTTTTTTCCTTCAATTGTTATATACTAGAATGGTTCAAGAAGCTGAAAACAAAAGGAAAATCTGATATGATGATTTGCTTTGCGCGAAAAAGAAATATACTCAAATTAATTATTATTTATATTATTTTTCTTCTTCTCTTACTTTGTTGCGCATATTATTTTGCTTTGTAATAACCGATATTCCCTACTTTAAAAGATTTCTGCATACACGTAAATGAAAAATATTAAACACACTCGATATGCTTCTCCGATTCAGATGATAAGACGCACCTGAAAATAACTAATAAATCAATAAATCAGAATAAAAACCAATAAATCAGAAAAACTCAAAGAGAAAGAAATTACTAACCAAACAACCGCGAAATAACAGAGAAGAGCCGTGCAGTCTCGATTTTTGTTCTCTTTGCTGTAATTGGCACTAGCCTCTGGATAAAAATTAAATCAGAAAAACATTGATACGAAGGAGATTGGAAGCGAGAAACAGCTTTGGTCACGATTGTAAAACGGATAACTAAAAGGGAAGGAAGAAAAATATTTAAAAAAAGAAGAAAAAAAAAGAGGAAAAAGGAAGGAAAAAATATTCGAAAAATTCAGGGGACTCGGTGGAAAGCGATTTCTCGTCGCGCGGAATCGGTGGAAAAAACCGGGGCGAAGGATTCGCACGGACGACCGTGTACCCTGGTTTACGGCCCCCTCGACGAACGACCACGGCAACGTATGGCCTATGAAACGACCATACTCGTAGTACTAAATAGACCATAAACTAAAGGAAATTGCCTGTGAACCTTTAATGCCACGCGCTTACACACCGCTCCGCGTACCATTCGATACGTGAGACGCAAAGATAAGTGTACAAGCAACGTTGCACCGATCGCGATCAAACGGCTCGAAAAACTCCAATTGCCGCGTACAAATGTACCTATTTCGATGTACGACGATGCACG